CACTCATCTGTTGATGGACACTTAGATCGCTTCCGTGTCTTGGAGATCGTAAATAGTGCTATGAACATTGGGGTGCATGTATCTTTTCTCATTAGAGTTCTCGTCTTTTGCAGATATATGCCCAGGAGTGGGATTGCTGGATCATACGGCAACTATATTTTTAGTTTTTTAAGGAATCTCCATACTGTTCTCCATAGTGGCTACACCAATTTACATTCCCACCAACAGCGTAGGAGGATTCCCTTTTCTCCACACGCTCTCCAGCATTTATTGTTTGTAGACTTTTTTTTTTAAATGTGGGGGAATGATGATTTATTGAAGGCCTACTATGGGCCGAGTGATTTATTTGTAGACTTTTTGATGATGGCCATTCTGACCATATGAGGTGATCCCTCATTGTAGTTTTGATTTACATTTCTCTAATAATTAGCAATGCTGAGCATCTTTTCATGTGCCTGTTGGTCTTCTGTATGTCTTCTTTGGAGAAATGTATACTTAAGTTTTCTGCCCATTTTTTGGTGGGGTTGTCTTTTTTTTTGATATTGAGTTGTATGAGCTGTTTGTATATTTTGGAAATTAAGTCTTTGTTGGTCACATCGTTTGCAAATATTTTCTTCCAGTCCATATGTTGTCTGGGAAATTTGTCATTTAAAAAAATTTCCGAAGTGCTGAATGTCACAGGCAGCAATAAAATATTCAGAGGGAAAAAACCATGTGTCTCACACAAAGAAGTGACAATCCTGATAAATGATGATAAAAGAGACGTATATAGAACAGCTGCTTACAAACTGCTGTTTTCAAAAATATGTATTTTAATGACCTTTGCCAAACAATAATTTGAAGATATTTTACATGAAACTCTTGACAAATTAAATTTGTCTACTATTAAAAGTTAGAATTAAACTATGTTTTTAGACAAAATTATATTTGAAAGTATCACATTTTTCAGATTAAAAAACAAGCTAGTGATATGCTGTTTGTTGCTATTGATAATTTTTGCAGAATTTCAGAAAGTGTGAATCCCTGATTGCCAAAATATATGACTGTCTCAAATTTCATTTCGCCTTATTTTAAAGAAGTCCCCACAAAACAATTCTGCCTATCCCATTCTAAATACTGTAAGTTGTGAGAAACAGTGCTTCTAAAAAAATTGGTTTGTACCGGTTATTCATCCATAGCTCTCAGTTCCACAGGAGGCTGGAGGCCTTCCTTGCCAGCTGGCTTCCATTATGACAGTAACATAGGAGTCACTGACAAAAGATTTGTTTTTAAAGCCAGAGGAAGGGCAAATCCACATTTCCCCTCAGCTTCTGGTACTTCTGGCAGCTGCAGCAGCAATGGCGGCGGTTAAGCGTGGCTCCTGGGTTCCTTCCTGCATAGGCACTGCAGTTCCATCAGCAGCAACGGGTCAGCCAGCACCAGCACTTGCGGGCTTGGCTCTGGCAGTGTCAGGCAAAGGTGCAATAGTCATGGTTGACGTTTATACCTCAGTTATGGGTTTCCCAGACACAAAGTCCCACTCTCAGACCATTTTCTCCCGCATGAGCCAGCATTAAAAAAGAGTGTGAATATAACACTTCCCTCAGCGAGGGAAAATGCCCAAAGAATGGTGGAAGATTATTAGATATCAGTGACCCACAGAGCCACTGTAGAGTACTGGTGAGGGTGGGGCTTATGCAGCTCTGCCTTTCTTTATGTCACGTTATTGGGCCCCATGGCAGTATGGTGTTCTTCCTTACAGGTTCTTCATCTCAAGGCTTTGTAAACTGCACTATGAATTTACCCAGACATGGATGTTCACATTCATGGCTTATGCATTTACCTGCATTGAGGAAATAATCATTGGAGCACCCCTTGGGAGAAATGCCTGTTTGTCTCAGGACTTGGGATTGCAAATATCGCTTCTGATTTCCTATTTGGGAAGGAAAAAGAGTTCCAAGCTTGACTCTTCCTACCAGAATTCAGAATTGCCCTCATTTTAGCAGTTAACTAGGCTTGTTTCCTAGGTATCCATTTCACTTCTGTACTTGCGTCAGGAAAATAAACACAGGGTAAGTTCAGGGGGAAATTTCCCAAAGATTTCAGGGAACATTGTATACACACAGAAAATTTGGAGTATACTGCAAAAATATGGGGAATGAGTTTAGGCTTACTGAGGTCTAGGTGGTCTCCTTGACGGAACAGACTGAGGAGGCACCCGGCACCCATTCATGTGGCAAATACATTCTTTTCTGTCCACTTGGACTACTACTAGCAGTATGCCTTGCCCTGGCAGCAGTGTATCACCACAACCCAGTCTAAGAGGTGAATAACTCTGCACAACCTAATCCTCAAGACCCTGACCACCCAACCCAAGGACACAATGGTGGTCCACTTTGCTGACATCATGCTGCTTTTCCTAGAGAATTGGAAGCGGCAAGAATCCTGCGTGTTTTGGTAAAACACCTATGCTTTTTTTTTCTGGCCATATCGCGAGGCTTGCAGGTGCTTGCGGGATCTTAGTTGCCTGACCAGGGATTGAACCCGTGCCACAGCAGTGAAAGCACCAAGTCCTAACTACTGGACCACCACGGAACTTCCCAAAACACCTATGCTTGACTGGGGACATAAATCCTGGGAAGAAAGTGCTCACTCAACCAAGTTTTTGGGGGTCAGCATACCTCTCCCAACAAGTGAAACACAAATTCCACTTGTCCCCTATCCTCTCTATCCTATTGTGCACAAAGCACAGTAGGCCTCTTCAAATTTTGGTGAAAGCATTTACATTTGGGTATTGTGCTCCAAATGCATTTATTGGGTAGCCCTCAAATCTACTACTAAGTGGGGCCTTGAGCAAGAGAAGATTCTCTCTAGGAGGTACAAGCTCACGTTGTCTGTAGCAGACCCAAACCGTATTTGGAACTTGAGGTAAGAATCAGAAGAGATCCTGGTGTTTCTGAGCAAGACTGCCCATCAGGTTAACTACTAGGGTTCTACTGGAGATTAAGCATTCTTCCATGGGACACCACATAACTCTGCAACCTGGACTGGGTATGATCTGACAGCTTACCTGTGCACCTAGCAGCACCTTACAATCCATTAAATGCAGGTACAGATGGCATTAGGCTTGAATTAACCCTGAAGTTACTAAACTGCCTATTTGTGCCGAAACCAGTAAGATGGCCGTGGGTGGAGAACAAAAATGTTCAAGCTTGGTTTACAGGTAGCTCTGCATGACCTGCTGCCATCAGCAGTGAATGCTAAGGAATTATAGCCCCATGCAGGACACCAGTGAAGGAAAAACAGCCCAAAGACAGAGTTTCAAGAAGGTATGACACTGTCTCCTGTACCTGAAGACAGATGGCTTGTCTGGATCCTGATAGATGAGCAGGGACTTCCCCAAACAGGCTCAATGTCCCATGTGAAAGCTCACCAAAGGCTTCCTCTGCAGGGGACCAGATGGCCCACTCCTCACCATAACAAAGCCCAAGGCTGTGGGCATAAACCATGGCCCACAATGTGTGCCTATCCTCTCACCCTAGAAATTACGCTGAGCACCTGAAATCCAGGACTCCACTGTGCCTGGGCTCAGTGCCAGGGAAGAGAAGAGCTATTACTAGCCTAAGGAGGGAGGCCACTGCTCTCAGGGATGCGATACCCTGATGGGGACTGTGTCCTAGGCACTATGATAACCATGGCCCTTTGCTTGCATCTCTATTACCTGCTTCCTTACCTGAACGTGAGGGATTGCCCATATTCCCTAAAAGGTTTTCATTTCTTGAGGGTCTCAGGTCCTATCTACAACATGGGAATTAGGGAAAGAAGCAAGGATTCTGTTTTGTTTTTTCCTCTGCTGGTATCTAGGCAAAGTTCAGTGAATGGTGGCAAAGGGACATAAGCTCTGGCTCAGAGAAACATGTCTCTTTCTCACCCTGGATGCTCTTGGAGGGCCTGCACCTGAGTAGGGGCTGTGGATCTGTATGCTCACTTATTCAACCTCGTGAACTTTATTTTAATATTTATTTATTTAGGCTGCGCCGGGTCTTAGTTGAGGCCTGCGGGATCTTTTAGTTGTGGCATGCGGACTCGTAGCTGCGGCATGCATGCAGGATCTAGATTCCCAACCAGTGATTGAACCCGGGCCCCCTCCATTGGGAGCATGGAGTCTTACCCACTGGACCACCAGGCAAGTCCCTAAGCTTGTGAACTTTAATCACAAGTATTTCTGGTTTGCTCCAAGTGCTTGACAAGCCACACTGACCTTATAAAGGTCAATCAAGCCTCTGCCAGCACCAATCTGGTGTGTGGTCCAAGGAAGCTGCACTGCCAGGGTAAATGTGGGTCACTGAGGCCAAGGGTGGAGAGGGCCACCAGAAGAAATGGGGTCTTCTTGCCTTCTGTGTCTTGGGCACACCAGACCCTGGCCAGTAAAACTCAGGGTCAAGCAGAAGCGTATCTTTGGCCAATGGCTACTTTGTGGCTCAGTTACTGGGTGATATCTGCTCCTTGCTGGAGCCTGAAAGCCCTAGATCAGGGGTCAACAAACTTTTTCTGTAAAAAGTCATATAGGACTTCCCTGGTGGTCCAGTGGTTAAGACTCTGCACTTCCACTGCAGGAGGCACAGGTCTGATCCCTGGTAGGGGAAGCTCTGCATGCCGCATGGTGCGCCCCCCCAAAAAAAGTCATATAATTGGGGTGGGGCAGCTAAATTAGGAGTTTAGGATTAAAATATACACATTACTATATATAAAACAGATAACCAGCAAGGACCTACTGTACAGCACAGGGAACTATATTATCTTGTAATAACTTATAACGGAAAGGAATCTAAAAAAGAATAGATGTATAACTCAATCACTCTTCCGTACACCTGAAACTAACAAAACATTGTAAATCAACTATATTTCAATTTAAAAAGGCATATAACAATATTTTAGACTTTGCAACTCATAAGGTCTCTGTTGCACCTGCTCATCTCTGCCATTGTAGTATGAGAGCAGTCAATGAATAACTGTGGCTGTGTTCCAATACACTTTATTTACAAAAAGAAGCAATAGGCCAGATTTGGCCCAAGGACTGCAATATGCCAACCACTGGACCCTGAGGATACTCAGGAGATGACCTGGCTGCCGAGGGGACTATGCTCCTCCGTGAGATGGAAACTTCTAAGGTCTGGTGCTTTGCTAAGAGTTGTACATGGGTGCAGAACAGGGCACTGTGTGTGTGGAGTTTCTGACCAAGTGGTGGGTGCTGAGGCCCAAAAGTGAAGGCTGCATTGGAATAGGTAGAGCCTCCTCCTTCATAAGAAACAACTGCTTTATTCCAGATCAGGCCCAACCCCCCTACCCCCACGGTCCCTGGGTGGACACTGTCCTTACTGGGCCCTCAGGAGCCCTTGTGCTGTGGCCTGACCACCAGCCCCTCTCTGGTGATGGCCCAATTGTAGCTCTTGGGGGAGTCCAACGCTTCTTCCACCCGCGCCTCCAGGTTCTCTCGGGTGATGAAGTTTTTTGCCTCCTCCTATTGGAAGAGAGAAGGCCAACTGAATGGAAGCCCTCAGAACATGCCTGCTAGCCTTTAGCCCACTGAGGGAGGGGCTCCAGCTCTCCTATGGGAAAGATGTCTGCAGCCCAGGTCTTCTCTGAGCACCCCGCTGACCTTCCAGTGGAAGAATATCAGGCAGCTTTGCCACATTCAGTTCTCTTAGACAATCATCCCCTGGACATTTCGGCCAAAACCCGGACACACCAGCTGTGACAATTCACTGGGTGGAATCAGTCTCTCAATATTGCCTAGATCTCTCAACCTCTCTCAAACTGTCCTCCCTCTATTACTTTAACTCAAGCCTCACCCATTCTCGCTGGATCACTTCTAACTGATCTCCCTGCTTTTAAGTCTCACACCTGGCATCCCAGGCCAAAATGTTTAAACCCTTCGGTGACTTTCCCACTCTCACAGCAAAATATAAACTCCTTGGGGAACGTGGGGGCCAGTCTCACAGACAGTGGCTTGGCAAGTGGCTAGCCACGTGAACACTACTGCATTGTCAACTCTCACCTCCGGGTCTTCGCGCCTGACAGACACTCTCCCTGCACGCCTCCTCTTCCAAATCCTCACCTGCTAACCCCGTGTCAAGACTCAAGGCTACTCTCTTCCAACTCTGCCTGTAGCCGCGGCCCCACCTCCCCCACCTGGCTGCGCGCAGGACTCGCGGGACCGGCAGAGTTCGCGGCCTGCAGCCCCACCCTCTGGAGACACGGCCCACCTGCAGCTGCAGCACTTCACGCTCCTTGAGCTGCACCCAAGCCTGCGCCTCTCGGGCCTGCCGGGCGTCCTCCTCCGCCTGCCGCCGCTCCTGCTCCCGCGCCTCCTGCCGCAGCCTGGCCATCCTGGGAGGAGTGAGAGGACGAGGTTGAGCGTGGCTGGGTGTCTCCGGGCCGGCAAGGCGTCCCCGCCCCGCCTCCCGCCCCACTCACCGCAGCTCGCGCAGCCGCTGGTTCTCCGCCTGGTTCCAGGCCATCAGCTCGCGGTGCTCAGCGGCGTCCTCCAGTGCCTTGCGCTCTGCCAAGACACCGGTCCGGGCCTCGTGCACCTTCTTGCGCACCTCGGACACGAACTCCAGCCTGGACGGAGACGCGCCCAAGGTCGGCACTCTCTTCGCCCGCCCGCCCTAACACACACGCCGCACGGCACCGCTTCCCCCTCCGTCACACACACCTGAGGGCGCGCACCGTCTGGCGGTACTGCCGGTAACGCTCCGTCAGCACGAAGAATTCCGCAGGATCCACAGCGGGTGGGGTCGCCACGCGCCCAACCTTTGACTTGGCCGGCGGGTCGTGGCGGGTCTTGCGGCAGCGCGCGGGGAGCAGAAACGGGGCTGGGGGCCGGCCCATGGGCCGCGCGCCCAGGGCGCTCAGCGCGCGAAACATGGCCAGACCACCTAGCGTCCGGCGCGCCGCAGGGCATCACTGGGGCCCGGAAGTGGCCGCGGGGCACCACGGGACGCGTAGTCCGCGGGCTCCAACCCCACCCTCTGTTGCCCGCTGACATTTGCGTCCGCCCCGCCCCCCGGAACCTGGCTGTGTCCCCCCTGGGGGACCGGGTTCCGACCTGCATCCCTCCAACCCCCACCCGGGGAAGGGTCTCAATGGAGAGAGAGGGGACAAAGGATGCAACAACTTCAGGGACCCCTTTACTGGAGGGCAGCGGGGCGCGGCGTTCGGGGTCGGGTTTGCAGGAGGAGGGCGCGATCATTCCCCCGGACGCTCTGGTCACCTGACCGCAGAGCTGCGGCCTTACCCGCCCCCTCCTCTCCTCCCCTCCTCTTCCCTCGCCTCCCGGCTTGGCCTCGCTGCTTAGGATTGGCCGACGGCCGGTATTGTGGCTCCCACGTCCTGCGGACGCCCCCTAGCCTCCTAGAAGACCCAGCCTGTGGGTTCTCTAGCTCATTGGGCTTAACGGGCGTTGCCCACCTGATATCTAAAAACCCGAGCTCACACCGACTGAAATTAGGCGATAAGGTCTTGCCTTATAGGAATTTACACTTTCTCCTTTAGTTATTGTGCTCCCGTGGTGCACTTTAAAATACAATTTGCAAAATAATAAACCATCTCCCTACACCTGTCTTCCGCTATTGGCCTTGGGGAGCTCTGCAATCACTGAGTCATTCCCAGTGCACGTATCAATGACCACCTGGTTATCGGGGCCGTACTGTAGAGTGTGAGGTCGCACCCCTCACCTCTTTCCACTGGCTGTGGGCCTGCCCACCTTGAGCCACACTGGCTTCCCTTGGCTATCTAGAAGCCTAGGGGACTTCACAGCCGCCACTGTTCTATTTATGGAGGTTTGTAGTACCTCCTTCTACTCCACTAGTGACTTCTAATCTTTTACTTTAATCTAACATAGTATTTCATCATAAATTGTCTAGGATTGGGGCTTCCCTGGTGGTGCAGTGGTTAAGAATCCGCCTGCCAGTGCAGGGGACACGGGTTTGAGCCCTGGTCCGGGAAGATCCCACATGCTAAGAAGCAGCTAAGCCTGCGAGCCACAACTACTGAGCCCATGTGCCACAACTACTGAAGCCCGTGCGCCTAGAGCCCGTGCTCCGCAACGAGAAGACACCACAATGAGAAGCCTGCGCACCGCAACTAAGAGTAGCCCCCCCCCTCGCCGCAACTAGAGAAATCCCGCACACAGCAAAAAAGACCCAAGGCAACCAAAAATAAATAACTCAGTGGTGTATCATTCCCCCTCACCCCCAGCCAGTTCTTAGCTTACTTACCAGCAGTGTCTGCACCAGGTGCTGCTTCCTGTGGAGGAGCCACCGGGCCATGGTCCTACTCTCCCAGGGCACACTGTCCTCAGGGGGAGCCAGAACATCGCTTGGGAGGTTGGGGACAATTTGGCCTGGGCTGTGAGCTGCAGTGCCCAGAACCCTTCCTTAGAAGGGAACTGAGGCTGCAGCCTGCCCTCCCCACCTCCACCCAAGGCTTGAGGTAGATGAAAGAGCCCCAGCCAGCACCTTCTTCTCACTTAGGCTGGGGAGACCCTTCAACTCACCTGGGGGCCCAGGAGTATGTTGGGGGTCATGGAGTGAGCTGGAGGCTTGCTTTCCTTCAGGGTGCCAGCTGTGGGAGCAGTGCTGAGCCTTCGAGGGCTCAGGGTGGGTGGTCAGCAGCAGCACCAGGAGGCCTAGCCCAAAGCTGGCCATGGCAGGGCTGCTCCCATGGACAGTGGACAGCACTCAGGGAGTGCTCCCATCCATACCCCCTTCCTCTTCCTCCGGGATCCCCTTGGACAACTGGCGTTTCAGGGGCAGCTTCAGTGTCTCCTAATGTTCTTCTCTCTTCTGCTATTGCTCCCTATACCAGGACTACAGGGGTCTGGACCCTGAGGGCTCCTGGCAACTAGCCACCTCTCAGAACCCCTGGGGCAGAGGCTCCCCGCTTTGCCAGTTGAGGGCCTTCCCCAGTAGGGCAGGACTACCCTTTCTTCCCTCAGGGATCCCAGAAGTGAGAGAAGGTTGGAGAGGGGAACAGGGGAGTTGTTCAAAAGACAGGCAGCAGTGTGGGGGAATCTGGGGCACCCAGTGCTGGGGGACGTTATTGGCAGGCCCTCAGCTCCTTTTCCCTGTGGGTTGCTATCTCTCTTCCATGGCAGTTGGGGATGTGTGGTGGTTACAGGGGCAAGGGTTTCTACCCCTTGTCCCTCCCATGCTAGGGGCAGCAGGCACAGGAATAGTGTTGTTGGGGAAAGATGAGGGAAAGGGGGCTTTTCTGGGCATGGGTCAGGGGTAGAGGGACTTGGGAGGGGGAAGAGGAGCAGTGTATCCAGAATAGAGCTCCATCCCGGAGCCCCAGCCCTGGGGAGGGCAGCCTTTTCACTCACCGAGGGAGAGCTGTGGATGAAGTGGCTCCTCCAGGCAGCAGTGGAACCCAGGCAGCCAGACCCAAGATTTATTGCTCAGGTAGTTCCACCCACTGCTCTGGGCCCACAGACTCCAATGACGTCTCAAAGAGGGGACGGGTGGCAGCTCGCCACCAACTCTCTTCCCTTCGCAGTGTATGTTCAGCTGCTGGCGCTGGGGTCACCAGACAGATGCCTCCTCCTTCCACCTTCCCAGGGATCTCAAGTCACAAGCCTGGCCTGTGCCCCTGAAGTCTCATCTAGCCACTTCCCTAGCTGCATTCTCAAGCTCCTGCCCTTAGGTCTAGAAAGCCCTCACAGCCCTCTCTGACACAGCAAATTATGGCCCTAAGAGAGGCAATGCCTGGGGTCTTCCTGAGTCCCACCCAGCTCAGGGCTTTCCCTGGTAGAAAAGTGGGGGCCTAAGAGTGAGGAGTCCAGCAGCCTGTTAAGAAGTCTGGGGAGAGCTATGACCACTCTTCCTGAGGGCTTGTTTGCCCACTTGTAAAATGGGTTGGGTGGGATGTCCTTAACCACACACTTGGGCACCAGGACTGGGTCACTCCATGTGGAAGTAGGTTTGGGTGGGGCATAGCTACCCCACAGGTGGCCTCTCTCTCCTCCAAGCAGGTCCCTGACAGGGGGCCCAGTTAAGGGGGCAGTGCAGCCTTTGTGGGCCTATCCGAAGGTGGTAGGAATAATTTTGTCCCTCAAGGTTCCAACCCCTCCTCATCCTGTACTTGGCCCAGGACCATTCATGGATTTGGGCACAGCCCCTGGAATGCCAGAAAAGGCTCCCGCCTTAGTTTGCATCAGCTCAGCTTTCCGCTGCCAGCCACCAGCCTCTGGGGGGCAGAGGCCAATTTATAGGGTTAGCCAATCTCCGCCTTTGGACAGCAATTCGAACAGCAAGTGCAAGGGCAGGGTCAGGCTGGGCATCGCAGTGTCTGGTCACTGGGAGAGCAAGTGTGTCAAATTCTGTGGCAGAGATGGGGGAGATGACATCATGGGCACCTCGACTTCAGCTGCCCAGGCAGAAGGGCATGGGTGAATTTCCAAACTGACTTACCTGAAATGAATATTTGGACTGTATGATCAGTTAAACTGTTTTGGGAAACAGGTTTTGTCCCTTTATGTACCGGTTAACCAAGTAAATTTTAGGAAAACATTTGCTTTGTGGTTTAGTGAAAACAACTGAGTTCAATAAACTAGCTTAGTTCTGGTTTGGGTTTACAGAATGTTTTATTCAAAGGCCCTGGTGTTTATTTTAAAAAAGGAATGGGGTGCCTTTATTTTTTCTGTAATTTGATTGTGGTTTTTCCTGAAAATTCCAAACAAGAACAAGCTTCCCAGGGGAAAGCTTCCCTTTCTTTCTGGCCACATAGTTTGCCTTTTAGGAATATTTGCTTTCCCCTTCCAGATTATAAACTCTGGAATTCATCCTTGTATCCCTCTCAGCAGGACACAGAAAGCCATTTGTTCACCACTGAGCTCTAGCTCACACTCAGCCCTGAGGCCACATTATTCCAGTCTGGGGGCTGCTGTAATCAGTTGGGAAAGCAGAGGTTTTGAGTTGAATGCTCAGGTGCTGTAGGAGCACAGAGGGGCACACCCCCTGAGCAGGTGGTCTGGGTGAAGGATGGAGAGTTAGCTAGTCTCGGCAATAGGGCTGCAGTGGGTGCTCTAGGGTAAGAGACAAAATGGAGAAGAGCTAACACAGGAACTACGGGGGGGATCTGTGGGGGGGGGGCAGGCCTGTGGGTTTGGTGCTCAGTGGGAGTAGGGCTGGGACGGGGTGGGTGGGGGCAGAGAATGCTGGAGGCTGCACGAAAGGGCAGTGGGCTTTAGAGACTGGGCAAACTGCTGGGTGTGTGGAGCCTGAGACTGGTGCCTCTGGGCCACTCTGTGGAGTCACAGTAGGAAGTGGGGTGTGTGGACCAGGAGCTCAGGGCTGGAGGAGGGCTGAGGGTCCACACCACACAGACTGCAGGAATGCCTGACCTCTGAGGAAGGGGGCTGTGGAGGAAAAGCTACAGAGTGAGGATAAAAGTCAGGAGGCAGTCATTACACCAAGCGGGTGCCAGTGGACAGGGAGACAGTGGATCCCTCGGGCTCAGCACTGAGGATGAAAGGGTAAGGAAGGAATATGCGGGAATGGAAGAACTTAGGCATGGGGGAAGTGCTTTTTTTCTCTTCTTTTAAATGAAAGATGAGCATATTGGGCAAGTGGGGGTAGAGGATGAAGGAAAACCCAGGACAGAGACAATTTGATGAAGTGAGGTCTCTGCAAGTGTGGCAGGCCCCAGAAGTTTGGGTGTGCAGTGGGCACAGTCACAGCTGACTGACTGAGGAGTGGGCACTAGATGAAGCAATCTCCTCTGCCCTTCCCACACAATTGTGCCACGTGAGCTTCAACACACTTCCCTTTGAGCCTATGTCGCTTGACACCATGTAAGCTCTGAATAATACAGGAAAAGAAGAGGTGAAGAGGGAGTGATGAGCCATACCTATAAGCTGAGGGAGAGAAGGGAGCAAAGAGCTGGGGTAATTCCTGCTTGAAGATGTCTGTTTAGCAACCAGGGGATATGTTCGTTGCACGGCTTGCTGACCCAAGGCTTGCCCTCCTCCATCTGCCTGGACATGGTTACACAGAGGCGCCAATAGGTAGCTTGCAAAGAGACAGGGTTTCCTTCCCAAGCATGGCAGCCCTCACCCGAAATTCTTTAGATTCTGTCTTTGCTTAATTTATCCATGCTTCTTTTAAACCTACTGACTTTTTGAGTTTATCGCCCTTTACAGTTCCTTGGTTCCTACAGAAGGACCACAGTACACCTACTGACTTACACGACTTCACCCCTTGCAACCTTCCAGAAGGTGGTCTGTCGTGGCACCCGGGCTTCGTGCATACACCCTGAATATGTGGTGCAGAACTTGGCTTCTATCTTGGAGCCACTGCGTCTTTGCTTGCCTGGAATCTGAGGCCCTCTGTGATGCTGCTCCGCTGATCTTTCCTCCTTTCGCTCATCTAAACTTCCAATATCCTGCAGGTCCAGTTCAAGTCCTACCTCCTCCAGCAAGCACGGCAGTGGTGATCTCTGTGCATTCCTCCATGGGCCAGACAGGGGTGCCACCTCTCACTCCTGACAGCCCCGAGGTGCCCCTGGCCCCTGATCCTTAAGAAAGGCCCCAAGGGCTGCAAGGTTCTCTCAGCCCTGAACTGACAGTCATGGCAACCGGTTTCCTCTCCTGTTCCTGTGTTGGGCTGATCATGAAGAAAGGAGGCCATGAACAGACACACCCTCCCAGCTGTGCCCTCAACTAAAGACCACATTTCCCAGCACACTTTGTAGCTCAGTGTGGTCTTATGACTAGGTTTTAGCCAATGGGGTATGAGTGGAAGTGAAAAGTGCAACTTTTGCTTCATGTCTTTAAAAATGAATTTGTTTGCCCATGCTCTTTTTGCTTCTCCATGGGAAAAGACAGCGACCTCAACCATGAGGATGAGAACAACATCCTAAGGGACACTGGGACCATGAGATGGAGGATACTGGGTCTCTGGACTGGGCAGACTGTTAACATGAAACATAAATGAACATCCACCTTATTTAAGACACTTTGTCTAACATGTTAGGCTCAAATTCGAGTTGGGATCTAAGACTCCCACCATCCTGGCCTCTGGATCTGAGGCACTTCCACATAAAAGTCCTGGAAATGAGGACAGATATGAAAGGAAATGGAAGCGGTTTAACACAATAAATGTAGATATAAACACTTGCTCTGGACAGAGCGACATGATCCAGATAGTTTTGCAGCAAAGCACCAAGGACTGGAGAGGTCAAACTGACTCAAACCCGAAAGCCAAGCCACCCCTCTCTCCTCCATGCCTCTGTACTTAGGGAAGCAGTGAGGACCCTGGCCATCTTCCCCAGGGAGCAAGGCTGGCTAGGACCACTGCACCAAAGATATGCTGGGAGTGAAAGAATAGTCCTGATAACTACCTAAGGGCTAGAGGGGCTGTGTTTGTTGGAAAGAAGGAGCTAGGGAGACTGTGCCCTCTCTGCAGCCAGCTAAGACAGAACAGTAACGGCAGGGACGGGAGTGGCCCAGGAGAACCCCAGCCCTGGTATGACTGCCCCAACCCAGACAAAGGGAGAGACGTTTCCTCAGGGAGTCAAAGCTTTTATTACCTGATAATCCCTAGTGTGGTGCCAGAGATAACACTCTGGTCCCTCTACTCGCCATGGTGGGATGTAGGCGGTACGAGAAGGTGGGCAAGGGTGGAAAGGGAAGAGATTATTTACAGAGCAGGGAGGGGAGAGCGGTCTGAACTGGGGGCACTGGGACAACCAATTTCCTCAAGAGCTCTGATAACTTTGTGCTTTTTTTCTTAGTTAATGCCTAGCTACCTGGAATGAGTTTTGTGTTTCTTCTTTAGGAAAAGATGTATAAACCAAAGAACAATAGAGCCCAATTTTCAGGCAGAGGATTTCATGATATCAATCCAAACATCACACTATTTAATTCCCCAATAAAACATTGGAAAAAGGACTATCAGTGCTAACACATTTACATATAAAATCTCCACCTAATAGGTAATAGAAGCCTATGTACCAATTTCTAAAACAGTTGTAAGATATATACACAATTTTGGGTATATTAACAAAACAGAATATTACAAAATATTAAAGGCAATTCTCCTGTCCACGGGGCCTCATCGCTTCTCACTTGAAGTTGGCGTAATCTGAGAATGCATCAATATATTCCTGCACCACCTTGTAGCAGAACTCATACTGTTCCTGCAGAGTGAAAGGTAGGGGAAAAGGCCAGGGTAGTTACGGAAGAGAAAAATGTACCTGCAGCTCCTGACAAACCCATTTTTTAAAAAATGGAAAATTCACAGGAGATGAATGTTTTTGGATTTCCACCTGAGCCCTGAGCTGCCTGCCAGAGTTCTGACAGCATTCCCCTCTGGGCTGAGTGCAGCTATCTTCTACAGATAGAAGTGACTAGACATGCAGATGGCACTCCTAGGCCTGCAGAGGTCAGACACGAGCTCAAGTCTGTCCACACACTCAGTGGTTACTGGTCATCTAGACTGTCAGGAGACCTGCTGAAAGGGAGCCTGAGGAGAGGAGAGGAGGTACTTCTGAGTCTTCCCCACCTTGGACCCATGGAGAAGTGAAGAGCCCCATGGAGCACCTGGGCACCCTCTTGTAGCCTTCACAGAGGCCACTTCCATCTCTTACTGGTGTGGGGCTAGGCTATGCCCCCACTGCTCTCCTGCCTCCCAAAGCTCATTCTGTTTGCCTGAGGCACCTTGAGGAAGGATGAGTCTGTGGTTACACAGTCTTCTGACTATCAGATGGGCCCCTCAAAAGAGCCTCCCCCCTGAGCTGGCTTTGGCAGAGGAGCTGCAGATGGTGTGGTGGCATGGATAAATACGCAGGGCAGCATACCAGTGTCTGGACCATGTGTGGCCTCTGCAGCCGCAGGCTCTTGACGGTCTGGAAGACATCCAAAATCCCCTCTGCTTTCACCCGTTCCAGGACTGTGCTTAGGGCACAGAAGGTCCCTGTCCGTCCTGCCCCCGCACTGTAACAAAGCAGATACACTTATCACACCTGCAATGACTCCCTGTGCCAAGAAGGCGAGTGACAATGACAATGAGCAGATAAAGGCCGAGGCTGGTGCTCCTGGGAAGGTCAGTCATCCAGTGGAACTGCTGGGGGTGGGCACAGGAGCTCACACAGCTCTGGGGAGGCGGGTGCACCCCTGCTGCCCTTCTTGTACGACCCATTCTGCTTGCTGAGGGGCTCACTCATTGGGCAGTGGTGAAGAACCTCACCCCCACTCCCAGCACTGAGGCTTCGCTGTCCACCTACAAACAAGCTGGGGTTGGGGTGGGGGTGGGGGGAATCCCCTGGCGGTCCAGTGGTTAGGACCCCGCACTACCAATGCCAAGGGCACGGGTTCGATCCCTGGTTGAGGAACTAAGATCCCACATGCTGCGTGGCGCAGCCAACAAACAAACAAAACACACAAAAAACAAAAACAGCCCTGCGGGGCCCTGGCCTGCTGCTCATTCATGTCAAGAGTTCTGGCCCCCTCTTTCCTGCCCCTCTGCACTGGTATATGGTTGCTGATGCTTTTCCATGCTGCTCATTTTCTTCCGAAATCCCAGGAATCCAGACTCTCACCTTGACACTGTCCACCTGTTCAATGTGTCATCACCAGACCCTTACTGAGTGCCTGCTGTGTGGTAGGGGCTGAGGTGGGTGGCAGTACCCCCAGACAATAAGATATGCAGTATGAGCAGGAAAAAGAGAACAGCAGTTCTAGTCAGTGTGGGAAGTGCTATTGTGAACAGGGTGGTCAGGGAATGTGAGCAGAGACCCTGAGAAGGTGAGGACAAGGCCCTTGGAAATGAGCATCTCAGGAATGAAACAGGAGTGTGTCTAGGTGCTGAAGCCACTGTAGCTGCATCTGAGGGAGGGAGGGAAGTGGGCGGGATAAGGTCAGGGCCCTCAGGGAGAAGGCTAGAGCCCCGGTTCACTCCCTGCCTAGCCTGAGCAAGGAGCCCTCAGACATGTTGTACCTCGTGAGCCAGTGTCTGGATTCTGAGTAAAGGAGTGATGTGGTCTGACTGAAGTTTTAGAAGGAGCTCTCACGCTGCTGTGTTGAGAACAAACTACAGGAGGAAGGGTGGGAGCAGGGAAACCAGTGAGGCCAGTATAGTTACTGAGGAGAGGGCATGGTGGCTTGGACAGAGGGCCATGGTGGGGGGAGTGATAAACACTTGATTCTGAAATTATTTTGCAGGTAGAACAAATGTACATGTGTGAGAAAACGAATTGTTCCAGGCTTCTTATCTGAGTTAAGTGAAATACCACTTCTTGATGTGGGGAAGGCTGTGAAACAGCAGGCTTGGAAAGAAAGATAGGGAGTTCTGAAATAACCCTTTAAAACTGAAGAGGCCCAAGTGGAAATGTTGAGTAGGTAACTGGATATATAAATCTGGAGTTTAGGGGAACTGGTGATAAAGATTTGGGAGTTGGTATTAAAGCCAGGAGATTGGATGAGTTCACCTAGGAGAATGACTGTCAGTTGACAGAGGTCCAAGGACTTGGCCCTTGACCACAGATGGGGAGGAATTAGCAAAGGAGACAGAGAAGGAACAGCCAATGAGGACAAAAACCCTGGAGAGAAGCTATGCTAATAGCATTCCACAGAGAACCAAATGACCAACTGTGTCTAATGCTGATGAAAGTCAAGGATAATGAGATTAGGAAGTGATCACTGGACTCAGCAATGTGAAGGTCACAGGCGGCCCTCACAGGGCAGTTGCAAGGGAGTATGTGGGGGGTTAACTGAAATGGGCTCAAGAGAGGCTGGGAGGAGAGGAACTGGAGAGTTAGTATGAACAAATATTTTGAGGAATTTTACAATTAAGGAAAACAGAGAAATAGAGGATAGCTGGAGGGGAACTGGAGGCAAAAGTTTTTAAAAAATATTAAAATGGTAGAAATTATAGCACATTTTTATGAAGACAGTAGGTATCCAGAAGAAAACCTGATGATGTAGGATAGTGAAGTCAGGTCCCTGAAGAGACAAAAGAGGATGGAATTGGTATCCAAGTGGAGGGTGGGTGTGGCAGACTTTAGCTTGACTCCCAAGATCCCTGCCTCCTGGTGTTCACATACTTGTGTGATTCCCCTCCCCTTGAGTGTGGGCAGGACTTGTGATGTACTTCTAACCAACAGAATGTAGCAAGGGTGATGGAGCGTATACAATTACATGTATGTGATTATGTTACGTGGATCATAATGTCTGTCTTATAAGGAAATACTCTCTCCTTTGTTGGTTTGGAAGAAGCAAGCACCCATGCTGGGAAGGTCCACCACGTGGCAAGGAACTTCAAAATACAAAATTTCACAAGGAACTGAATGCTACCAACAATCAAGTGAGCTCAGAGTGGATCCTTCCCCAGGCAAGCCTCAGATGGGACCACAGCCCATCTGGTCAACACCTTGACTGCAGCCTTTTGAGACCCTGAAGCACAGGACTCAGCTAAGATGTGCTCAGATTCCTAACCACAAAGACTGCAAGATAAATGTGTGTTGTTTTGAGATGCTAAGTGTGTGGTAATATTATTACACAGCAATAGAGGACTAATGTAGCTGACTTCAGAGAGAGTTCAGACAACTCATCCACTGAACAGGAGGGATGCAGGGTCCACAGCACTAATGCAGGTAGATGGGGAGCTGTGGTGGTTAAGAGCAAGTGGAAATTCTCTGATTGCTTCTTTTTTCCTAGGCAAATAGAAAACATGGTCATTTCTTAAATATGAGGATGGGAGAGGTACTGGAGGTTTGAGGTTTGAGAGGAGGATGAAATGATCATCCAGGACAAAGGCTGGCAGGCTTTTCTATAAAGGGCCAAATAGTAAGTATCTTAGGTTTTGCTGGGAAGAGAGAAAGTCAAGTTACAACTGCACAACTGTGCTTCTTGTGTGCTGAGCAGCAGTGTGAGGTAGTAAGAGTAACACGAATGGTCTCAATACTGCTGCTGGAGCAGGACAGCAGCCACAGATAATATATAAGCATAGCCGTGTTCCAATAAAACCTTATGTATGAACACAAATGTAAATTTCATGTAATTTTCACGTTATGAAATATTCTTCTTTTGATTAAAAAAATTTTTTTTAATGTAAACACAAGTCTTACCTTGCAGGCCCCACAAAACCATGTGGCAGGCCACCTCTGGTACTGGGCCCTAGTTTGCTTAGCCCTGGTCTAGAACAGTGGGAGATGCAGAAGGACTGCAGGGCAGTACTAATCGCCAACCATGAAGTCATCAGAAATGTAAAATGAGGCTTGTAACATGGTGCTTTCCTTTAGCCATATTCAGCTGCATGGTGCAGGGTAGCTAGAGAATCTGGGGTTTGCCAAGAGAGGGTGACTAAGGGAGAGAGCAGCATGGGAGATTTAAAAGTGTGGGCAAGGAAGTGTTTATTTTTGTAGTTCAAGGAATCCTTTTAATTTGCCAATCCAATGGACA